AGCTGAGCCTGTTGGTGCTAGCCGGGTTGGTCGCCATGGCAACCTGCATGACGGTGTCGATGAAGGAGGCGGCCGATCTCCCCGAGGAACTGAAGCCCATCGTTCCCGGCGGCTCGTGGTTCGACGACATGGCGGTGGAGCGACTGCGGAAGAAGCACGAGGAGCTCAGAGAACTGGGTGAGGCCTCGGGCGCTGCCGCTAACTCCATTCGCAGGGAGAACGAGGGCCCGGCGCTCAAGAAGCCACTCGCTGCTTAACTTTTTTTCTTTCTCTCTCTTCTTGTTGTCTCCGCTGTTCTCCTTCTTCGTCTTGTTCGCCTTCTCGAACTCTTTGTCCCTCGTTTTCATTATTGTTATTATTCTTTCCTCTCCTATTTTTATTTTTTTCCTTTTCCGTTTTTATTCGTTTTCTCGTCTCTTCTTCACCTCCTCTATCTCTCTGTCCCTCGTTTTCATTATTGTTATTATTATTATTCTTTCCTCTCCTATATTCTAAATCTTTCCCTTTCCCCTTTCCTTCGTTTTCTCGCTTCTCCTTCACCTCCTCTATCTCTCTGTCCACGTTTTCATAGTTGTTATTATCATTATTCTCTCCTCTCCTATCTTTTAAATCTTTCCCTTTCTCCTTTCATTCGTTTCCTCGCCTCTCCTTCCCCTTCCAGCGAGTCGACCCGCCGTACACTGAGCGAGCATATACTTAAGTCTAGGCACCTCGACCCTGAAGTCGGTTTAGAACGAAAGAATGTAGAAAAGTTATCGATCTGATGCCCGAAAGATCTGCATGACTTTTATGCTTCTGGTTTATTTTACCGACTCTTTCAAAACAGTTTTAAAGATGCATGCTGGTCTGACCTGAAACGGGGTAATAATAAGGATAAGCTAAATTAAATTACATACGATTGGCAGCTTTTATGGTTAATATCTATCACACTCAGATGGAATGCTAAATTATTTCCATCCACCATTCCCATGATAGATAGCATGAAAACGTTTTTCTTTTCTTTTTTTCTTATCCCTTTATTACATTTAATGTAGGTGGAATGATGATACATTTCCATAATATATAAAAGTAAAGAAAGCCAGTTTCAAAATGTATCGCTGCCAAAAAAAGAGAGACTAAACTGCATGTTTTTCTTTCTTTCTTTTTTATTATTATTATTATTTTTTTATTTTTTTATTCTATTATTTATTTATTATTATTATTTTTTTTACTCCGTGGGCTCCTCCTCTGTGTCTTCATTACCGTTGGTTAAGTTGTACCATCGAAAACAATAGACACTTGCATGCTAAAAGTGTTTTAATTCATTCCTGTTAAAAGTGATTCATCATTGAATTATGCCGAGAATGGAAAGGTCAAAGAAAAAAAAAGATAAGTATATGAAACCTGATTTAGGATGTTAATTAAAAATTGCGGGAAAAAAGGATGCAAGTGATATATATGAACGTAAAAATTTCAAATGTACGTGATAACTTTCCTACAAATAACTAATCTCTACATACTTTTTTATTCATCTGTAACGGGTAATTACAGTCAGTTTAAATTATTTTTCAAGCTTAATTTTTTCCACTTGCATGTAAAAGCACTTAAAAGTATTATTTTATACATAAGAAAATCAAGCAAACAAGTAAAAAATCAATTATCTCTATATACATATATCTTGTAACCTTCACTTGCTTTGTTCGACTAAATTTTTTCTTTCTTTCTTATCTTTCTTACACAGTTTCTCGGAAATGTTTTCTATTCGTGTGCTATCTCACTTGCGCGTCTGTGGAAGTGATACTTGAGAACATGTGCTAAGACATGAAATACTGGATCACATTTGAAGAACATGAACAAAGGAGAGGGATGTGTACATATGCACATACACTTACACATATACACGCACACCAACACGCCTCACTCACTGCACTGTGTATGTTGTGTTGTGAGAGAGAGAGAGAGAGAGAGAGAGAGAGAGAGAGAGAGATGAGAGAGAGAGAGAGAAAGAGAGAGAGAGAGAGAGAGAGAGAGAGAGAGAGAGAGAGAGAGAGAGAGAGAGAGAGAGAGAGAGAGAGAGAGAGAGAAGAGAGAGAGAGAGAGAGAGAGAGAGAGAGAGAGAGAGAGAGAGAGAAATAGAAAGTCCGATTTACAAACTTGCAAACTGGAGGCGAAATTAAAGTGGATAAGGTTATCAAACACTGCACGCTAGAATAGTATTACTGAACCATCATTTTATTCTTTATCTACCGTCTTTCCCATTTTCCATTTTTAACCGAGCAACCAATTCTAAATACATTAGGAGATACTTTCCAAAAGCATCCCTGCTCCCATCCGCTCTCAGCGCCTTAATCCACTCCCCCCTTGTCTACATCCACCCAATCTTCCCTGATCTCCTACTTTTTCTAGCACTTACACCCCTTCCCTCTCCCTGCCTACCTATTCTCCTTCCTCCCTTGACCCCGCCCCCAACACTTACACGTCCCTCCTCTCTCCCCTCCTATCCCTCCTCCAGTATTTACGATTCCTTGCCCTCCATTGCCCACCCTTTTCTCGAACCTCCTACCCAGCCTCTAGTACATAATCTCTCCCTCGTCCCTCTCTATCCCTCCTCCCATCCCCCACCCCCTACATGCCCGCCCCGCCGAACACCACACGACCCCCCACTAACACCCCCCTCCCCAGGTCGTCTGGAATCGCACGAGCACAGCGACGACGACGAAGAGATGTTCATCATGGCGCGCCTCGGCTCGCATAAGGTGGTGAAGCTACCCGAGGGGGAGGAGGGCGCCGAGAATCATCACGACCATCACCATCATCATGACCATCTGGCCAGTCAGGTGAGGGAGGTCAAGGTCGTACCTGGCTTAGGGGGACGGGGTCTAAATTCAGAATAAAGCCTGTACTCGTTCTGGAAGATGGGTTCCAGGGGGAAGCTCGTGGTTAGATTTATCAGACGGGTTCTAGGCTCATGTGAACCTCGCGGCTGGTTCTGGAGACGAATTCTAGACTCAGGTGAAGCTGGGTCTTAGAGACGTGTTCTAGACTTGGATTTAGATTGCAATAGTCCGAAAAAAAGTGTTTTAGGCTGAGATGAAGCCCGTAGTTAGATTTACGAGACGAATTCTAGACTCAGGGAACCTCACGACTGGCTGTAAGAGATATGTACTAAATTTAGTTGAAGTTCATGTCTAGCTCAAAGGGACGTGTTCTAGACTGAAGTGAAATTTGCAGTCGCCTTAAAAGATGTCTTCTAGACTTCAGTGATACTCGAAGGTAGGTGAGTCTCGAAGGTGGCTCAAGGAGAAATGCTCTAGTCGCAGGTGATCGTCACAGGTGTGCACAAATCATAACATCTACGGCCAGCTGTAAAGAAGGGTCTGGAAAGCGTTCTAAAAGGCATAGAGGATTCAGGGCAGCTGTGAAGAAAGAACATCTGCAGAGAGCAATAAATAATACCCATTTCAAAGATGCAAACGTCGATTTGAAGTTGTTTAACGATGTAACCTGAATTTTTACGAAAATTGAGAACGAGAGACTTCAGGGATATGAATAGGTTTTTATATATCTTGAAGGAGATAAACTTACCACGAGAGATGCTGGTGTCTCAGTTGCCGCCGCTGGCTTGAAAAATGGTGTTAAATGTATTATTTTAAGAGAAAAGTTTGTCTTAGTTTTATACATGAAACTGGTTTGACGAAAATAAAAAAATGCATAAGTATATATATATATATATATATATATATATATATATATATATATATATTATATATATAATATGGCTGATAAATAGTATATATTTATATATAATATATATATATATATATATATATATATATATATATATATATATATTATATATTATATATTACACACACAGCACACACACACACACACACACACACACACACACACACCACACACACCACACACACACACACACACACACACACACACACACACATACATACTATACTATCACGATACATATATTAATATATTGCACGCACCACACACACACACACCACACCACACACACACCACTCCCCATGCCCGACGTATATATATATATATATATTATATATATATATATATATATAATATATAATATATATATATATATATATTATATATATATATATATATATATATATAATATAATATATATATATATATTATATAGGCATACCACACAACCACACACACCAGCGCCCGCACACACACATAGGTCAAGTTCAGGTCTAACGCAGCCTTCCCCGTAGCACGCCTTCCAGAAGAAGAAGACCGCCCCCGTCCACGAGCACGACCACGAGGAGGCTGAGGCCGGGAGCGGGCCAGAGGTCGCGGCCTCGAAGGAGTTCATGGAGGTGTACGAGAGGGAGCTCAAGAAGTTCTTCAGCAATTTCATGAGTGCTATGTTGCAGGCTGAGGTCGGAGGAGGTGGGTAGTTCTCGTGGTTAAAAGTGAGAGAATTTCGAATCATGATTTGTGTTAAATGGGTTGGCTGTTGTCATATTCAGCGCATTTTTGAGTGTTGGTAAAGTCTGTTGTATTTGAAGTCATATTAACCATCCTGATGCTTTACACTCTGGTCCGGTCCAGTCCTGTGATTTTTACTCGGGCCTACACCATCCTTGCGTCCCATCCTGGGCCCTTCCATCCTGGTGCCTTACACCTTCCATTCCATTCCCATTCTTAGGCCCATTCCACCCTCGTGCTTCATACTCCTGTCATTCCTCCCTCTCACTCCACACCTTCCCCCAATCCATGTATCTAAAGCCCACACGATCTTGCAGTGAGAATCGAGAACCGAAGCGAGGAGGAGAAGGAGGGCTTCAACGGACGTCCGAATGCGGTGGCGTCTCCTTGAAGGGCCTCGGAGACGGAGATCTTCCCAGCGACCCCCTGGTTACCCTCCTTCGCTGGCTGACCTCGCTGCCCTCTCCTTCACTCCTTCCACGTCGCGGGTCGTCCCAGTGGCTCCTTCTTTCCCTCCGTCGCTGGCTGACCTCGCTGTCCACTTCTTCACTTACTTCGACGCCGCACCTTGTCTCCGTGGATCACTGTTCGCTCCTTCACCCCCTTCTGCGCCGCTGTCCGTCCCAGTGGCTTCTCTCCCTCCTTCGCTGGCTGACCTCGCTGCCCTCTCCTTCACTCCTTCCACGTCGCTGTCCTTCCCAATGGCTCTGATTTCTCTCCTTCGTGGGTTGACTTCAGTGATCTATCCTTTCGCTCCTTCTGCTTCCGATTTCTTCCTTCTATTCTCGACGGCGGTGATCATCTCAACCGCTCCTTCGAATCTTTCACCTTCCTCAGCTCCAGATTTCTTGCCGATTTTCTTCCCGACGCTGAGGATCGTCTCGGCGACCATCTTTCTTCCCGATTTTTTTTTTCTGTCAGATTTCTTTCCCTGGTTTCGATCGTCGATCCTTTTCTTCGCCATTCTAGTGGCTTAATCGGTATTATTTGTGGTGTGTTCGCGTATATATACATATATTTTCTCAGAACATTGTGAGTCCTGAAGGTTCATTTTTTCATGAGATTCTATTGGTCATTTCAGTTATTGATTTTTCTGTGTCATTTTCTTTCATATCTTTGTCATTCTAAAACTAATTTCAATCTTCCATCCCTTGTTAATTGCTAAGCGATCAGCTGTTCCTGTTCTCCTCCCGCTAGATTCATGACAAATTCATTATTTATTTCGCAAACATGTACATAAAGAAAGTGTCCGATGCCTTTGTGTATAAAAATGTTTTATCAATAACATTCATTATAGGAAAACTAAAACTTGTCAAAATCTGTCTATAAAAATGTTAAAAACAACGTTCCTATATATCATAGCGATCTTCTATATCACGTGATGACCCACTTCCATGAACAATGTTACCAAGTTAAAGCACGAGGTTTTGTGTTTTAGTGATTTGGTAACACTGGTTATTTTTCCTCCTCCCTTCAGTGTACTGATGTTTGTATTTTGTTTGTCTTATCACTGCCTTTTGTAAACAAGAATCTTTATATATATATTTATTTAGCTAGAATAGATATAGTCTTAAGCTCACTGTAGAAGTATAAGATGTATAACATGAAATGTAGATTTAAAGTGCATTTACAGTCGACGAAGAGTACTGGTACAGATCTCTCTCTTTCTGAAAACTCAAGTTCTGTGTGGTTTTGTAACTCACAAACTTTATGACAGAAAGACGAAACAAAGCACGATATTTAGGGATTTGGGAAGCTTATTTCAGCCCTAGAATAAATTTGCAAATGTGCTGTCTGGTGTTTCATTTATATTACACATTGCATACATACATACATTCATACATATGTACACACATACACAAACATCCACGTATATATTCTTCTAAAAATCGATAATTTCTAACCTCAAATAAAGCAGCGACATTTCAATATCTGAGGAGTTAATTATTTGAATTTCTGAACAAATCACCTATTGCGTAGATATGCATAAATAGCAAACACACGTTGCACGAGAAATAGAAAAAAAAAAACATTCTTACAAATTCAATCCAGTTTTTTAAACCATTAATATACTGCAACACTGTATGGAAAAAAGTGAAGGTAATGAAAATCCATCAAGAAATACAGCCAGATCAAGTGAATATACTTGTCGAATTATGAATGGCTTTACACAACACACACCACACACACACACACACACACACACACACACACACACACACACACACACACACACACACACACACGCATTGCAAACAAACAAAACACATATGCCATCGGGTACCCATCCCTCCCCAAAGAATATCAGTAGGTAGAAGAATATTAGAAGTTAGAATAGAATAGTAGTAAGAAGAATATTAGAAGTTAGAATATTAGAATATTAGTAAAAAGAATATTAGAAGGTTAGAATATAGAATATTAGTAAAAAGAATATTAGAAGTTAGAATATTAGAATATTAGTAAAAAGAATATTAGAGGTTAGAATATTAGAATATTAGTAAAAAGAATATTAGAAGTTAGAATATTAGAATATTAGTAAAAAGAATATTAGAAGTTAGAATATTAGAATATTAGTAAAGAATATTAGAAGTTAGAATATAGTAGTAAGAAGAATATTAGTAACAATATTAATAAAAAGAATATTAGGTTAGAATATTAGAATATTAGTAGCTGGAATATTAGAAGAATATTATAAAGGCCCGACCACGACATCCAGAGTCCAAGAGAAAGTGTGAGATTATCAACCATGCTTTCCAACATCTGCTTCCTGATAAGAGAAATGTGTAGCTTTCTTCATCAACTAGCCTATGTTATCTGTTGATTTCCAGTGGGTTGAATGACGGGAAATATTCTTACAAATGATATTTTTCTGGAGTTGGTTGGTAAGGTTGGTAAGAAATAGTGGTATGAGGCGGATTTAGGATCACTGGAATTTATTCATAGATACTTACCAAATACTTCCCTTCCTTACCAATCTCCTCTCCAGTACTGAATATGTTGCACAGTAGGTATTGTTCACATTCTCTAATGCTACTTTCATTACAAATTTGCTATTTTCATTCCTTCGGTTTGATAATGTCAGCATTTTAAATCTAGCAGCCCAACATGTGGTTTATATAGTAATTTATCAGAATAATTTTACTGTTGCTACTACTGGAGGCTAATACAGGGGGCATACATCATAGGATGTATAAAAGCAATAGTCGAAGGATATGTAACAGACAGCTACAGAAAAATCCTGATCCATCATTCGCCAAGCACGAGTTGTAACCATCTTCACTCCGATGAAAATATTCTCAGTAGTTACAGTGGACAACTCGTGGCGAAATCTGATTGTCCGGTACCTTGGCACACACGCAAAAAGGGTCACCAAACTACTGTGGGCTGCAGCAACCAACTCCTTATCTGCCTTATATTGCTTCCTGCTAACTGGCTTTGCACAGTGTCACCACTCTTATGTGTTTCAAGACCAATGTTTCAGTACCAGAGTCACAATTGCTAGTACTTAGTTATTCCTCTTTGACAGCTCTAAAATACACATCATAACACGACAGCTGCTCCTCACCTAAAAAACCTATGCACGTCAACTTAGTGTACATTCGTCTATTATTTGCCTTTCCATTGATCTCCAAGAATGAAGTGGGCATTGTGACACTTTTCTTATTTTCTCATTTATTGTGGAGATAGAAATGATGGAAGTATAGACATTTAAGAATCAACATAAATATAGAAGAAGAATAAAAAAACAGAATAACTGAATTACTGTGCTATAGTAGCTAAAGCAAATCCAAAATAAAAGGAAATGAGCTAAACCTCATTTGGTTCAGTCCCTGCAAGGAACATTGTGTGTGAGTAATACAGCAATGTGCCCCAGATCATGGTATGCTCTCAATAGGTAAAAAGGTATACGAAAAGAAAAGCCAATGAGAGGAAAAACAAAACAAAACAGTCCATTAAGAGGAACCACACCCATTGCAGCCCACTATGAAATATCCCTTAACACACCTCTCTGATGACAAACCTCTTTCCGCCCTAAAGGTAAACTTGATTGAATCTTTACAGCTTATACTATAAGCAAGCAATTATACATTCAGCCCTTTAGGCCACCATTTATACACAGATATTTGCTACACTAGATGAGAAACTAAAAACGTCTATCGGCAAGCTAACCAACAACCACTACCAAAGAACGAAAACAATTCCTGCATAATTCCTGCCTAAGGGAATCTCTACTGACGCTGAGGACATTAGTTGTAAATTTCTGCACATAACCCAATTAGATATACAAACACTGTCAAAGTTATAAGGAAAGAAATTAAGGCTGATATTCTAAAATGTCTGTTCCCTGGTAAAAACTTCCTACATTTGTAAGGACAAAAGAGGACCACATAATGATTCATGAAAGACCAGGGAAAGGAACTAAGGGGTAAGCTATTGGCATATGACCTGGAATAAGGCATCAGATTATTGATGACATCAGTCGTAGATTCCTTGCAGTCTAAGCCGTGAAAACCAAGGTTTCTAGTCCTTAGCAGGGTAGCAACCACCTCGTGATCACTCTGCCGTACCCTGATTTTGAGACTGCAAAACCCTGAAGACCGTAGTGTAATTGAAAGACTCACTATATACATTGTAAATAATATTGGGAATAGCATATCTAGGCAATTGGTGGACAGGTGCATAAAGCATGTACAGGTCTGATTTCCACTTTGGTACACCACATTTCTGCTATACTCGCATGTCCTGAAATAGTTCTGAGCAACAGGTATGGATATCTTAACACCTGTATCACATATGACGTCCTCACTACCATCACATTATTCTGAATATACCCATTTGTTCTGACATAGATTTTATGCGAAATGAGATAAACTAGGGAATTAATACGTGGACCATTGGACGGGATGCCAGTGCAGAAGGAAAATTATAGTGCTGTCCAAAAGTTCCGGGACATCCTCAAAGCTAAAAAAAATTATATCCCTTAAAGACCTTTCAGAACCACAACACACCCAACCAACTTCCCTAAACTAAAGCTTCACCAGAACCTGTACTAGGGATTAAGAAACATGTTTAACGTACAAAGATGGAACCAAGAACTTGAGGTAACACATCAGTCCAGGGGACCGATTGACAAACAGGAACCAGGAACTCGTAACACATCAGTACTGGGACCGAACTGACAAATAGGAACCAGGAGCTCATAACATATAATTACTGGGGACCATTGACAAACACCAGTAAAGATAATCACAGCCTCAAATGGACAAGCTACAAACGCGCCTACACAAAGCTTAAGGATCTAAAATGGTTTTGACAGCAAGTAAAAGGCTGTTAGAATGTAAGTGCTATATTTAAACCAAGGCATTGTTCATCACACACGAGAGAAATGTTATTCTAAATGAGAAAGGGAGCAGGTCGTGAAAGGTCATTAATGAGGTCATACAAAGAAAATCACCAGGAATCATATGAGTGTAGTTTCATCCGCACTTTACACGGCATTAAGCAAAGGGACAAGAACTACATTGTGTATCCTGGTAATGATATA